ACAGGAAAAAAAAAAAAAAAAAGAATAACCACACAAGCAACTCTTCAGGCAAAAAACTAAAGTAGAATTGTACAAGAAACAAACGGCGTCAAACGCAGGAAATGAGATTGCAAATGATAACAACAATGAAATATATAAAATTACACCAGATGAAAATGGTCACGAAAGCTCGCGCACGCCGACCGCGACGAGCATCAATCGAAACTGAAACTGTACATGGAAAATGTACTGTGCATGAAAAGTCCTCAACGACGCAAAGTCCCTGTCACTGAAAACAGAAATGAAAAATGCAACATATGCAATGTATCCGACAGGCTACTGCTAAGGCAGTGGTACCACTGTACTACCACATGTCGAAAAAAAACAAACGAAACTGTAGTGTACAAGTCGTGTCATAGCTACTCTGCGAACACCCTACTGGTACAACGCTACTCTACGAACACCATACTGGTACCAAAATGATACACACCGAAAACAAAGGAAACATCATCTAATACATTTGTATCACGTTGCACGCACACAACCACTGAGAGCCTAACAACACTAAGACAAGACGAGACGACCAAAAAAACTAGGACCGCACAACATGACGAACCGCAGTGCGAGCAGGGGAAAAAGGAGTGTTGGCCTCATCAGTCAACGACGCTTCTTCCCCTTCCCGCTCTGTCTCCTCGTACCCCCTCGTGTGCCGGATGTCGAACTCCTCCTCCCTCGTGATGATGAAGAAGTCTGCGCAGCGCGCCGTCTGGCTGCACCTTTCGGTGGGGCAGGTGGGGGCTTGTGCTCATCGTGGTCGTAGTCACCATCAGAACCTCTCTCGCTCTCCTCCTCTCCCTCCTCCTCGCCCTCATAGTCCTCGTCCTCCTCCCGCACTGCCACATCTGTATCAGGATCATCCTCCTCGATGGTGACAGGGGCTCCTGCCTTCCTCAACACAACAACCCTCGCACTAGCCTCTGTAACCGTCTGCTTACGGTGCGATCCACGAGGCATCCCCAACCCCTCTGCCCCCGAAGTCTCTCCAAGTGCATCTCCTCCCTCTGCGGGCACGGGGCGTGGACGAGGAGGCACTCCGCGCTTGTGTGGAGTCTGCTCATGTACGGCACGCGTCGCTGTCATCAGAGCGTACTCCAAGCTATCGACGGACACTCCTCTACCACGACCTCGCTGAGGCTCACAACCTGATGCTGCCACCTCCCTCGCTGCGGTCATCCTGCAGCCGCGGGGTCCCAAACCCGGCTGTAGACGTGCAGTGTGCTCCGTGACACGGCGGGTGGAATCCAAATCTATGTCTGTCCTCCTGAACAACGCTGTGTCACTCACGTCCCCCACAACGGCTGTAGTGTCTCGAATCCTAGACCTCCCAGGCGTGTGTGGAGATCGAGAGCCTTTGCCTGTGGGCGACGATGACGGATCAGCTACAGGTGGTCTAGGAGGAGGGGGTGGCATGTCTCGTGTACGTGGCGCCGTCTCCACGACGCCACCTGAAACCCCTGGAACATCTCCCGTCGTACGTGCTCCGGTGGAGGTAGACCCAGACCACACCGGCGACGCAGGACCCCATGGAACTGGAGGGATCGCCTGCCATGGTGGATGTTGTAGCCTCTGGTCAAAGACCCGCCGGTCCAGGCGAGTCACATCGCGGACAGCCTCTCTCGCCAACTCGTCTGCATCCAAAGGACGGCGGACCTCCTGCGGAGCAAAGTGACTAGGAAGACGCGGTGGCGCAACCACCGGCTCGGACCCCAAATCCGTGATAATGGGCAGTGGCACACCATGCACTGCCACCGACACCGGCTGCGACTGTCGGCCCTGAGCCAAGTGCAGGCCCGAGAACGGAACGACTAGACCTGTCGTTGTCTCCCGGACCACACATCGTGCGTCACCCACACCCTCGTCTCGCCGCCGTCCTGCCTGCACAGTCTCATCCACCGCCTGTTGCAAGCCCTCGACATGAACATCCGCTGCCTCTCGCCCACCCTGCACAGCCTCAGCGTCCGCCCGTGCTACCACTCTCTCCACAACGTCCTCCCCCGCC